GATTTAACCCGAATGATATTCATTTTAGGGCAAATTTATCCATTTATAACTTGAACTATGATGTCGTTTATAAGAATTACAATCCTTTTTGCTTTTTAAATAAAGATAATAAGAAACACCCTCGGTCTGTAGCCTTGGCCTGGAAAGTGGTTTGCCGCAACTTATCAGATCGTCGCTTTGAGTGGCGCCACCGTCGTTGTAATCAAAACTGTAGTCGCTTATTTTAAAACATTTTTAATAATATTTCTAATGACGTCAATTGAACTATGAAACTTTTATGTAGCTAATTTATAATCCTAAAGTTAGCTGAAAATAAACCCTAGAACCTAGAGTAAAACTCTCCCCTTAAGTAAACGTAGGATAATGTGTTCCGTTGCTTGTTATAAATGATTACCATGCAGTCTGATCACCTAGCCGTCTGATGAAATAACTGAGAGAGATATCTAAGTGAGATAACTAAAAGAGATATCTAAGTGTGATATCTTTGAGAGAAGGATAATCTAAGTGAGATATACTGAGAGGAGATATCCAAGTGTGATATCTGAGAGAGTATATCTAAGTGAGCTAACTGGAGAGAGTAATCTAAGTTGAGATTAATGCCTGTTCCTTGCTAACGCCTCAACCAGATCCCCGCCCATGCCGCGGCAACAGGCTAGAACATTATTTACGTACTGTTTTTGATGCGTTGCCCACACACGATTATCAACTCTGCGGCACTTACTTATCTACCATCGTTCTTTTTAGATCGCTCCCATCGGTCGCCACAAACTATTTTCGCACCTCCAACCACTGTTATAAGTTCCTATCGCTGGCCAGCTTGCCGTATTCCCTAAAATATTAATTCATATTTTAATGCAAACTCTCGCCCTTTCATGCCATCTTTCCTACGTCTCTCACGTTCGTTCCCACGCGGCGGGTTCTTTCGTCACCTTCCGTGAACCATCCATAGGCCGTACAAACGACATCGACGAAGAACTTTTCTACTCGCTTCGCGGGCGCACTATCTATCGAGTGTCTCTACTGTACTAACCGGCAGAGTCACGGTACGTCGTTGATATTTCATATCATGGATCAGGCGCATGCAACTAAATCGTCTATCATATTCTTCTTCGCCGTGCGAAGTTATCGACAGCCATAAAGACTCGAAGGCGCCCAAGTTTTGTAACCGTATTGCTCGATTGTGTTTCGTCGACGATACGGAAGAGTTCATGTTCAAAACTCGAGCATCAACTTCTTTTCTCTCGCGTTGTTCGCGTGACGTCGACTCGGACTCAGCGTGGGCTGCGCCGCTATACTCACACGCACACACACAGTTCTTCGCCGACGCAGTTCGGCGAGCGACACAGCTTTGGTCGACGTCTGTCGTTCCTGCGTCGTCATATCAACAACATCACAGACAGTGCTGGTGTGCTTGTGTGCGTGTGAGTAGATTGTACGAAATGGCGGCGGGGATGGACGGAGGCCGGGCTGCGTGTACGTAGTAGCGGTTTTGCCATCAACTTCATCATTAATGGTTCAGCTGAAGGCGTACGACTGCATCATGTGTGTCGAGTTGATGGACGTACTGGGCACGAGCGCCGCGCTACGGCTGGGGAGCGCCTCGCTAACGCCATGAGCTTTCGTACTCGGTGAGTGATAGCACATCACCGTAGAAATATAAGTGTTGTGTGTGTGTTGTGTGTGGTGTGTTGTGTTGTGTGTGGTGTGTGTGTGTCTGTTGTGTGTGTGATTTGTGTGTGTGTGTGTGTGTGTGTGTGCGCGCGCGCGCGCGCGTGTGTGTATATGTGTGTGCGTGTATGTGTGTGTATGTGTATGTGTGCGCGTGCGTGCGTGCTCGCGCGTGTGCGTGCGCGTAGCATGCGTGTTGTACGCGTGCGTGTGTGTATGACCGTTTGTCACGTGCTGCTTTCGTCAGCTGCGAAATACGTTAGTATACCCACTAATACGATTTTTGACATGTATATCACTATTTACTTGTACCGACTGCGTATACTATGATATACAGTGCATACCGATACTATTCCAACCACGCTTCTACTCACTATAATTCTAACTACATTTTTTTCTATGCCTATTTCCCACAGCGCCTTTTAGCAGCATGCTCGTGAATAAATATGGCCACCGAAAAATCGTCATCGTCGGCGGCGCCCTAGCTGCCGTCGGCATGACGCTGAGCTACTTCGCTGTCGATCTCTGGATTCTATTCATTACCTATGGTGTCATCTTTGGTAAGGTATTAATGATAGAACTTGCCATGATCGTATGGTTGATAGACGTACGTTATATGTCTTGTATTACCATTATCAAATTAATATATATTATAAATAAATGATTTATTAATTAAATATTATTTTAAAATTATTGACGAACAAATATTAAAAAGTTCATATAAAATAAATATATAATACAAATATAATACAAATATTAAATCATGGTAGTGTAATCGTTCAATAAATCGATTATCTGCGCATGCGCACATCGTGCAATCATGATAATTGGATGTTTAATAAAGCCAAACAGTTCACATACTATATAAGATTTTAATGTTCGCGTGTGCGTTCGTGCGTGCGTGCGTGATAAACCATGCGTGCGTGCGTGCGTGCGTAAACCATCTAGTTACTCATCGACATGCGGCGATAAAATACGCAACCGCAACGCGACCGAGTAGCAGTAATAAATTTCTTGCTCCTCCAGGTAGCGGGGCCGGTCTCCTTATGGTTCCGTCCGTCTCCATCCTGCCGTCCTACTTCGAGAAGAGGCTTTCGCTCGCCTTTGGCCTCGTTACGGTGGGCACGGGCCTCGGCTCGTTCTGCTTCCCCTACATCGTGCAGCTACTGCTGGATGAATACGACTACCGCAATCAGTTTCTCGTCTGCGGCGCCCTCACGTTCAACGTAATTGCCGCTGGATTGGTTTTCAGCCCGCTGCGACCCAGCAGCTCAGCGGCGGCGAGTGCCGACGCTGGCGATGGCAACACACCGCGCAGCGACGAAAAATCGCGAGACAAGACTGTAGCTGGCGGCGGCAGCGACGAGAAATCGCGAGACAAGACTGTAGCTGGCGGCGGCGGCGACGAGAAATCGCGAGACAAGACTGTAGCTGGCGGCGGCTAGAGATATCTAAGTGTGATATCTGAGAGAGATATCTAAGTGAGATAACTGAGAGAGATATCTAAGTGTGATATCTGAGAGAGATATCTAAGTGAGATAACTGAGAGAGATATCTAAGTGAGTTAATGCTGTTCCTTGCTAGCTCACCAGATCTCCCGCTGGGCGGCATATCAGGCTAGGAAATGAATTTACGTGTGTTTTTATGCGTGGACACCACATTATCAACTCTGCGGCACTTCCTTACCTACCATCGTTTTTTTAGATCGCTCCCATCGTCGCCAAAACTATTTTTCGCACCTCCAACCACTGTTATAAGTTCCTATCGCTGCAGCTTGCGTATTCCCTAAAATATTAACTTCATATTTTATGCAACTCCCTTTCATGCATCTTTCCTACGTCTCTCACGTCGTTCCCACGCGCGTTCTTTCTGTCACCTTCCCGTGAACCATACCATAGGGTACAAAACGACATCGACAAGAACTTTCTACTCGGTCACGGGCGCACTATCTATCGAGTGTCTCTATGTACCTAACCGCGCAGAGTCACGGTACTCGTTGATATTTCATATCATGATCAGGCGCATGCAACTAAATCTGCCTATATCACATACTTCTTCGCCGTGCGAGTTATCGACAGCATAAAGACTCGAAGGCGCCCAATTTTGTAACCGCATTGCTCGATTGTGTTTCGTCGACGATACGGAAGAGTTCATGTTCAAAACATCGAGGCATCAACTTCTTTTCTCTCGCGTTGTCTCGCGTGACGTCGACGTCGGTCGACTGGGTCCGCTATACTCACACGCACACGCACAGTCTTCGCCGACGCAGCTTCGCCGAGCGACACAGCTTTGGTCGACGTCTGTCGTTCCTGCGTCGTCATAGCAACAACATCACAGACAGTGCGCGTGTGTGTGCTTGTGCGCGTGTGAGTAGATTGTACGAAATGGCGGCGGGGATGGACGGAGGCCGGGGCTGGGTGTACGTAGTGGCGGGTTTTGCCATCAACTTCATCATCAATGGTCATCTGAAGGCGTACGGACTCATCATGGTCGAGTTGATGGACGTCCTGGGCACGAGCGCCGCGTTGACCGGCTGGGTGAGCGGTCTCGCCAACGCCATGAGTTTCGTACTCGGTGAGTGATAGCACATCACGTAGAAATATAACTGTGTGTGTGTGTGTGTGTGTGTGGGTGTGTGTGTGTGTGTGTGTGTGTGTGTGTGTGTGTGTCGTGTGTGTGTGTGTGTTGTGTGTGTGTGATGTGTTGCCGCGCGCAGTGTGTGTATATTGTGTGCGTGATAATAGTGTGTGTATGTGTATGTGTGCGCGTGCGTGCCGTGCTCGGCGCGTTTGTGCGTGCTGCGTTAGCATGCGTTGTTGTACGCGTGCGTGTGTGGTATGACTTCGGTTTTGTCCACGGTGCTGCTTCTCGTGCAGCTGGCGAAATACGTTAGTTACCACTAATACGATTTTTGACATGTTAACATATTTACTTGTAGCCGACATGCGTATACGTATGAATATACAGTGCATCACGCATACTAATTCCCAACCACGCTTCTACTCACTAGTAATCTCAACTACATTTTTTCTATGGCCTATCTTCCAACAGCGCTTTAGCAGCGATCGCCTCGTGAATAAATATATGGCCACGAAAATCGTCATCGTCGGCGGGGCACTAGCTGTCCGTCGGCATGACGCTGCAGTACTTCGCTGTTCGATCTCTGGATTCTATTCATCTACTTATGGGTGTCATCTTTGGTAATGTATTAATGCTAGGAATCAGCCATGATCGTATGGTTGATAGTCGTAACGTTATATCTGTCTGTATTCACGCATTAGATCAAATTAATTCAATATCTTAAATAATGATTTATTAATTTAATATATTATTTAAAATTATGACGAAACAAATATTAAAAAAGTTCATATAAAAATAAATATATAATCACAAATATAATACAAATATTAAATCATGGGTAGTGGTATCGTTCATAAATCGATTATCATGCGCCTGCGCACCATCGTGGGCAATCATGGTAATTGGATGTGAATAAAGCCAAGAACAGTTCACATACTATACTAAGATTTTACATGTTGCGCGGGTGCGTCATGCGTGCGCGTGCGTGATTCCTGTGCGTGGCAGATTAAAATGCATCTAGTTACTCATCGACCATGCGCCGATAAAAATACGCAACCGCGAACGCGACCGAGTAGCAAGTAATAAATTGTCTTGCTCCTCCAGGTAGCTTGGGCCGGTCTCCTTATGCGTTCCGTCCTCTCCATCTGCCGTCCTATTCGAGAAGAGGCTTTCGTCTTTGCCCCGCCTTTGGCCCCGTTACCGTTGCTGTTGGGCACGGGCCTCGCTCGTTCTGCTTCCC